CTGTACCTTGGTGTGTTAGAAGTAATTTGCTTTTTGGTTTTAAAGGGGGTTACAAATAAGGGGCTGCCTTGAGTCTCACAAGAGACTTGGGACTTTAAACATTCTTGAGACTGACAGGTTATAGGGACTTCTGAAATTGAACTAAAAGCATTTTGCATATGATGTGGCCACAAGCCCATGATGGCCAGTAGGTAGAATGTGATAGCTTCAATGGGAATGGCCCCCATAGGCTCATGGGTTTGAATGCTTGGTCCCCGCTGGTGGAACCCTTTGGGAAGGATTAGGAGGCGTGGCCTTATTGGAGAAGGAGTATCACTAGGGGTGGACTTTGAGGTTTCGAAAGCCCACCCCCACCCCAGTACACACTCTCTCCCTCCCCCCACCCCCACCCCCGCCTCATGGATGTTGGCTCAATTTTTAAGCATTCAGGGATTCCTCCAACACCATTTCATCTGCCTGCCACCATACTTCATACTCCTGGCCATAATGGTCATAAACTCTAGCCCTCTGGAACCCTGAGACCCAGTAAGTGTTTTCTTCTGTAAGTTGCATTAATCATGGTGGTTTTTTTTGTCACAGCAATAGGAGAGAACTAAGACACATGTATAGTTAGTATATCAACCGCAGACAGTCTATCTTTAAAACAACAACAACAACAAAAACCACAACAAAAATTTAAAAGACAAAAATGTAAGAATATGAAAAAGAAAAGACTTTCCCAAACCAATTGCAAAAGAGTTGAAGGTTCCAAGATGCCTCTCCTTGTGGGGGCTCTGTGGGCAGACACTGAAGAGGCCTGTCAGGTTGCTGCCTGCGGAGGGGCTGTAGCCAGAGGACAGGGGCAGGACACAGATGTCACCAGCTCCACTTTTCCACACTAAATTTGCACCAGGTGTTTGTGTTGCCCAATTTTCAATGAAGTTATTTCCTGGGTCTTAGCATTTAGACAGGCTGACAATGTGGAAGCTTTTAAAGTACCGAGAGACCCCAAACATTTCCAAAGGAGGTTTCTGATACAAAAACACAACTCTTAAAACATTGTTTTCACTCAGCCTTTAGGGCAACAATACAGTTGTACATCATAACATTATAAGGTACATATTAGTAGACTCTCCCCTCATGCTGTATTCTTTCCACTAAAATGAACCCAATATCCATCTTGTTGTAAACATTGTTCATGCTCTTTGCCTGGCCAGTAAAAAGACCTGCTGATAGTCTGGTTTGCTGGTTTGTTGGTTTGTTGGTTGGTTGGTTGGTTGGTTGGTTGGTTGGTTTAAACAGAGCAAAGGTCTATTACTGGGGTCCCAGATTTACTAGGAGACATGCAGTCTTTGGGGATATCATGATGATCCATAATTCACATGATGGCCTGTGTAGAAGAAGTATACCAAAATAATGTTTTTGGGCAAGGAGAAAAAAAAAACACTCTACTGCGTTATCCTACCAAGAACCATCATCAAATGTCATATCATTGCCATGCTTTGGTTTACTCTTATTCATGGCTGTATAATTTAGTCTTGCATTTAGCCATGTGGGTGGACACTGGCAGTGCTGAACATGAGTGTGGCTGAGCAACTGAAACTAGGTCATCATTCAGAGATCACTACAGAGTAGAGGAGCCCCAATTAAGAATTTCATCTTCTTGATCATGAACGGGACCAACACTCAATTAGAAGTAAAATTGCCAACATCTGAGAGTGTAGCTCAGTGATACAATATTTACCCAACACATGCCAAGTTCTGGGTTTAATCTCCAGCATTACCAACACATGCGCACACATCCCTGCTAGTATAACTTGAAGGCAATTTAGACAATGTTTCAAGAGTCATTGCCAAGCATGGTGACAGACTGGCACATGCCTGTAATCCAGCAGCTCTATTCAAGAGGCTGAGGCAAGAGAATCACAAATTCAGTCCTGCCTGGGCAACTCAGCAAGACCTTGTCTCAAAATAAATAAAACGTGGTCAGTGGATGAGTACTTGCCTATTATGAATGAGATCAAAGTTCAACCCCCAGCACTGAAAACATAAACAAAAAAACCAAAAAACAAAACTATTGCTTAGGTGGAAGATCACTGGGTTTTAGAGAGATTAGCTATACTGCAAGTTCCATTCTGTGTCTACAATTGACAGTATGCTATTATGAGTACAGCAATTTGCTAAAAGGGGAAACTTCATGCTAACGATGATTACTGCAAGAACAAAAGAATTATTGTTTGCTTGACATTGTCAGCATATTGACTTTTAAACACATTAAACAATTCAGGGGCCTAATCAATAAGTACTTTCCACTTAGGCGAGGAAGCATTTCTTTAATGAACTCATCTACACATCTTTGTCTGGGCCCCTGGCTACTCAACATAAGGGCTTCTTCTGGGGACGCTAACCTCAAGCATCCCTTTAGCTAGGTGACCTCGCATGCCCTCCTGTGTCCCCATGACGACTGCTGTCTCCCTCCCCTTCCTCTTCAACTCTGACTGGGTCAAAGTGGCACAACCGTTAAATGAGACTTTGTACATAAAAACATGTCAAAACCCACCAATGCTCTCAAGTCTGAACAACGTATAATAATAATCACTCTAAATCACCCAGCCTCCACACTCTGGCCCCAGTCGGGTGTGATGGTATATACTCATAATCCTAAAACTCAGGACACAGAAGCAAGAGGCTTGTCAGTTCAAGTTCAGCCTAGGCTACATAGGATAAGATACTGTCTTAAAAATAAACTCTAAAGAAAATGAAAAGATGATAATCTAGTGTCAACTCCCCCATGAAGAGATGGCTCACAATTCTCTCTACTCCAATTCTATGTGGTCACCTACCTCCTTACCTGCAGTGGGAGGGTCTATGATGCCCAGAGTCTGTCTTGCTCACCATGGTGCCTCAGCACCTAGGTAGGCGTCTAACGCACTGGACAAGTTTAGTAAGCACATGTTGGGTAATGTCACTAAGCTTCCGAATAGAAAGGACTTGCTTAAGACACCAATCAGCTGAACAGAGGCGCCAAGGTTGCAGCCTTGATCTCTGCCAGACCTGAGAACTTTCCATGTGAGACTCCACCTCCTAGTGCTCTGTCTTCCTTGACAGGCAGCAGAAATGGAAAACTACAGCCCCTTCTCCTCCAATCAGAACCCTGGCATCCAGGTACCGGCAGCCAGCAGTGACCCGTGGGATGCCTTGTCCTGATGGCTAAGGTTATTATAGCTGGGGAGTGTCATGCAAGTCATTCCTATTTCCTCAACTTGAAGCTTCCCAGAGGCAGAGATGCTGTTGAATTCACCTTCCCCGCCATCTACAGGAGCTAGAGAACTATCAGAAGGAGAGAGAGGACAGAAGTGAAGAATATGAAAGATCCAGCTTCGCATGCACACGTACACCCTCCCCCAAGCCCTCAGTAAACAGACTGAGGTTAATGGTAATAGTTAGCGGCAACAGCGGCAGAGACAGGTTCATCAACACCAGGTCCTGCGAGGTTCCAACAGGCGACGATCAGAGACACCTGGGTTCCGAAAACTTATTAATGCCTGTTAAATCATTATCCTACCACATTAACCATCCCCTTTTCCCTATTAAAAAAAAAAGGATATCCAGTTACCCAAGCACAGTTCTCACAATGGCCCTCCACAAGAACAGGTCAACATTCCCAGGGAGCCCCAGGCTGTAGGTTGTACTGGATCTGGGTTCTGTCCTTACTCCCAGGAGAGCAACATTAAGACCCCCCTCCCTTCCTCTGACAGTCTTGTTCACTGCCCCTCTTCAGTCTTTTACTCATTCCTTTATGTAGGAAGTACACATTCATCCAACCCCAGACACCGTAGATCAGCGTGAGCACATAAGCTCTGCCCTCCGCAACCTCCCAGGCTGTGTCTTCCACGCTCTTCCTTAACCAGAAACTTCATTTACAGGCTTTTCTTCCTCTCAAAGGCACCCCAAGATAACTGTCTTATTGTGAGCAGCAATGGCAGGGGTCTGGGACTCAGATGGACAGGCGTATAGCCCCAGTTCTGCCAGTGCCTTTTTATTTCACACGGGGCAGACTTCTGCTCCACACCACCTCCCTCACCTTCAGAATGAGGGCAGGAGCACCATCTCCACCTATCCATTTCCACCAGAGTGAAGCAAAAATCCAGCAAAGGCAGGGCATGGTGGCACACACCTTTAATCCCAGCACTCGGAGGCACAGGCAGGTGGATCTCTGTGAGTTCAAGGCCAGCCTGGTCTACAGAGTGAGTTCCAGGCCAGACACCAAACTACACAGAGAAACCCTGTCTCAAAAAAAAAAAAAAAAAAAAAAAAAACCTTGGTTCCCCATCTCTGTGCCTGACTCCACAGAACATTAAGTTGGTCACTTGTCCTCACCTAGGGTAGATTGCAATGTCCAGGACTCAGTTTTCTCTTTGGTAGCATGAGAAAGACACCAGGTGACCTAGAAGGTCACTACTGCCAACCCAAGACTCCGTGACTTCCTGATTCAGGAGACCAAGGAAGTCTGATGGTGTCTAGCTCAGGGAATCACATTCTCTGCCGGGGAGGAGCCCCAGACTGGAAGAGCCAGAGCAGTCACCAGGCCACAGCCCTGGGAGATGAGAGGAAGTGAGTCCCATCTGGGCACTGGGAGGCTCTGCCTGACTTTTGCTAAGTGTTCAATTCCTGTGTGTGAGAAAAACCCAGATCTGGGGCTCAGACACTGTCTCCCCCAGATCTGCTCCTCTCTTCTCTCTCTCTCTCTCTCTCTTCTTCCCTCCAATCTAATGCCCCCTACTCTGGATTATATCAAAATTCTTGTGCAGGCTAAGTGTACACACACCACTGAGAAATGTGGCCAGCTCAAGAGAGAGTTCTCTTTGTGGGCATGCATGTAGGTATGTGTTTGGGCGTCTCTCGCTCTGTTCAATCGGCTTCAGACACAAAGCCCTTGAAAGAAAGCCAACCCCTGCACTCCACCCAGCCGGGACAGAAGGCAGGCAGCCGTCCTGTGCCCTCCCCACCTGGCTTCTCACCTGGGGATTGTCCATGTACCAGAGGAGGCAGTTGGCCTGGGTGTCCAGGATAAAGTATCTCCGAAGGAACTTGCCACTGTTCTCATTGTCCTCGATATCCAAAAACCCACAGATTCGGTTCTGCCGATCCACATAAGGCATTCCTGGGCTCTGCTCACATCACCCTGCACAACACGGGGGAGAGGCGGGTGAGGAGGAGGGTAAAGCGGGCTCTGAGGGCCTGGATGTGTCTTACCTGTCCCTGGTTTGGCTCACCTCGGTGACTTGCTGGCTGGCTCCTAGCCACCAGCTTCCCTCCATAGGCACCAAACGTCCACCCCACTAAACTTCCACCAACTCTGAACTGTCATTTCTGATGGCTGTTAATGAAACCCATTAGAACTGACTCAGCTAATGTTCTTGAGGCCCTACTGTGTGCTGTGCATAGTCAGACACTCTGTATCCCTGGAGGATAGAAGCTTGGTTATGCACACACAGTATGTGTGCGTGCATCCAGAGCCTCAATTTAGTCAGTATTCTTCCTGTGTCGTCAGTAATCAGTTTCCACATCTGTGAAGTGGGAATAATCCTGGTACCACACCTTATAGGATTTCTGGCTGTGAGTTAAATTGGAGGTATACAAAAAGCCCTTCCTGGCCATCAGTCACACTGCACAAAACTTCAGGAAGTGGATGGCAACTCATTTTACACATGGAGACACTCTCGAGGAAGATACCGCAACAAAACTTGGCCAGGAATTTAGGTATAAAAGAGTACCCAGTGATTAAATGCCACTGTGATGGGCTTCTGGAGCCTCTTGGCAGGGTCACACACCCCTTAGCCCTCCTCAATGCTGGTGTCCCTCTGCTATAGTGACTCGACTATGTCCTGTAAGAATTCATATACCAAAGTCCTAACCTCCATTAGCTCAAAATATGTCTGGATTTGGAAATAAGGTTTTGGCTTTGTGTTTGTTTAGTTTTTGTTTTGAAACAGGGTCTCACTCTGTATAGCCCAGGCTATCCCAGGCTATCCTCAAACTCTCAATTCTGATGCCTCAGCCTGCTAAGTACTGAGGTTATATGTATGTGCAACCATGCCCAGCTACAGACAGGGTCTTTAAAGAAGTATTTAGTATGTCATAAGGGGGCCTGGTCCATTACGATACCATGTCTTTGAAGATGACACTTGGAACCCTCAGGTCCCAGAAATAAGACAACCAAAGACCTAGGGAGAAGATAGCCACCTAGCGAAAGGCCTGAAACATCCCTTCATCTTCTACTTCTGGCCTCCAGATGGTGAGAAAATAAATTTCCATTGTCTAAGCTCTCGGGCTGTGGTACTTTGCCATGACAACCTGAGCTGAGACTCCTACAGCGACCAAATGCCTACAGATTTGATTTGGCAGATCAGCATAATGCATTTGTGGGCCCTACTCATATCACCCTGCATGGGAGGCGGAGGGGGCTAGTGAGGAAGGGGGTGAGCAAGCTTTATCTCAGGACCTGGGATAAGCCTCACCTGGCTTGACTCATCATCTCAGTTCTGTGCTGAGAACGAACAGAAAGCAACAAGAGCGAGTCCCAAGCCTGAGCACCTTCCCTGACTCCAGACCAGGGCCTCTGGCAATGTGAGAAGAGCCATATGTCCTGGTCACTTCATCTCTCCAGAATGTACTCTAAGAGACTACAGGAAAGAGTGAGAGTCCCCGAGCCCCCAGAGGGGGGAAACAGCCAAGACACCTGGTCTAGACTCATGCCTGTGAGGAAGCCCTACAGAGCCACGAAGTACCACATCGCCTTCGGATCATCCCCAAAGCCAGATAACATCCAACCACTGAGCCCTGACTACCTCAGCAGAGCAGGATTCACAATGGCCCCAAGCCAGAAGCCCTGCAGCCCAGCAAAAGTATGAGATGGCTCATGGAGGGACCCTATGAGCCAACACTGACTCAGAGAAACTTCTACCCTAGCTTTTCAAGGCCAGAGGGGACAAGTCCCATGAGGACACACTTCCAGGTAAGGCTTACTCTCCAAGTGGTGGCTTGTGGGGTGTTCTCTCCCACTCCGATGAGCCTTCAGAACTGAGAGGGTCCACCGAGAAACAAGTGCCACATACATACACACACACACACACACACACACACACACACGCAGATACCAGTGAACCCCAGGGTCCAGGCATGTGCTGGCCCGATTCCCAAGAAGGACAGAGCTGCAGCCATCCAGAGATCCCATGGCTACTCTTAAGGGGTGCAGGGTCAGAAGAATAAAGTGGACAGGAGAAATAACCAAGCTAGAACAACACGGCACAGCTAAAAAGGAAGCAGAAAGGGAGGGGAGAGAGGGACAGAAAGTGTCAAGGAGAGGGTTTTTTTTGTTTTTTTGGTTTTTTTTTTTTTTGGTTTTTCAAGACAGGGTTTCTCTGTGTAGCTTTGCGCCTTTCCTGGAACTCACTTGGTAGTCCAGGCTGGCCTCGAACTCACAGAGATCCGCCTGGCTCTGCCTCCCGAGTGCTGGGATTAAAGGCGTGCGCCACCACCGCCCGGCTAAGGAGAGGTTTTGAAAAGGAAGCTAACTATGTAGCAGAAGTGAAGGCCATGGAAAGGTGGAGGAGGGGCCCCCTGAACAAGGTGATGGCACCTACTTAGAGGTGTTATCCAGCTCAGGTCTCGAAGTGAAGCAAGTCTGAGTTCAGAGAAATGCAAAAGCTAAGGGTTAAGAGATGCTTTCGGGAGTCATCCGGCACACACCCTGGGTCACAGGTAGATAGAAGGACAGAGAGCCCATGAATGCCTGGGAAAAAAAATATATGGCCTGTTCAAGGAGCAGGGGCCTTGAGTAGAAAGACAAAGCCACCGTGCATGGAAAGGTACAGAACTTTCAGATGAGGATGGGGGAGACACCAACCCACCCACCCACCCTCCAAGAAACTAGGCAAATTCCCCTGGGTGCCAACACAGCTCCGGAAGCAAAAACTCCAGAGGTCACAGGACTCTGGCTACTCCAGGGAAAATCTCTCCCCACTTCTATCTGAAATGGGGGGGGGGGGTCTCACTGTGCAGCCCAGGCTCACCTAATGCAGCCCAGACCGGCCTCTAACTCTTGGTGGTACTCCTGCCTCAGCTCCCTGGTGCTAGGATTACATGCCTGTGCCACCATGCCCAGTGTTAATGGGGAAGAGAACACATTCAGCTGATCGGGAGAACAAAGCTGACTCGCTCCGGGCCAGCTGGTCAACCCAGGGTCCAGGAAGGCTAGCTTTCCGAGTTCCCCTTTTCAGCCTGCAGGATTTACCAATGTCTGCTTCTTCCTCAAGACAGCACGGCTGGAAAAGGGCCTCTTTCTCCAGAACTCTACTTCTGCTGTGGGACTTCCCAGGCGCACGGATGGACAGTGTGGGACGTCCATGTACCAAAAGGGAAGGTCTGAAGCAGAGCTCTGCTTCCAACATCCAGACTGAACTGTGTGCATGTATGGGGGGCGGGGGGAGGTCCTCGGACGGCCTAACGCAGCTGAGTCACACAGCTCATCAAGACTGTGGGAGGGAGGCAGCAGATCTGCAGAACGGGCACAATATGGAAATGTTACGACTGTTCCACTGGGTCATCAACACTGTTGTTAATGGTTTCAGCACATTAGTGCATTGATTGCAATATGCCTTACTTAATCATACCTCTATCACTAAACAACTAAGTCTAGAGAGCCAGGTTTTTTGCTATTATAAATAATACCAAACCTTCATATTTGGTGCATTTTTTTTCCTGGACATGGAAAAGAGTATATGTTAAAGATAATAATATGGGGAATAGAGAAGGGGTCTGTGGTTCAGAGCACTGGCTGCGCTTGCATAGGGCCTGGGTTCAGTTCCCAACACAAACATGACAGCTCACAACTTCACAACTGTCTGGACATGAGCGCCACACAGTACATACATACAAGCAAAACACATGCTTTTTTTTTTTTTGGTTTTTTTCAAGACAGGATTTCTCTGTGTAGTTTTGGTGCCTGTCCTGGATCTCGCTCTGTAGACCAGGCTGGCCTCGAACTCACAGAGATCCGTCTGGCTCTGCCTCCCGAGTGCTGGGATTAAAGGCATGCACCACCACCGGCCGGCGCAAAACACATTTTAATACACATAAAGTAAAAGCAATAAATCTTTTTTTTAAGGTATGTGATGAGAACCTAGGCTATATGATCTTTATCATTATTGAGACCTATTATAAAGTTACTTTCTAAAAATACATGTTGCAACTAATCGTTAATTCACTCTTCACCATCATTAGATCTTTTTCTAGACAAAGACTCACTGTATAGCCTTGGCTGGGCTGAAACTCCCTATGAAAACCATGCTAGTATCGAATTCACAGAGATTCCCTGGGCCTCTGCTGGGATTGAAGACCTACATGACTGTGTCTGGCTATGCTCTTATATGCATTGAAGTTCTCCTATTTGAAACTGTTCCTAGTTAAAATTTATAATGATGACTGGTGAAGGGTGAATGTTCAAATGTGTTTCTTATTTCATGTATTTTAAACTTACACACACACACACACCAACACATCTCAGCCTCCAGGGCAGTAGGCCTCCCTAAGCAGGAAGTTTCGTGATGATCCAGATGCCCTTTGTAGGATTTAAGTTGTAAGCATTGCTATAAATGAAAATAAGTTATATTTCCTTAAGGTGAGATGTGGCACATGCCTTTGACCAAGGATTTGGGAAGCAGAGGCAGGAAAATCTGTGAGTACAAGGCCAGCCTGGTCTATGTAGTGAGTTCCAGGCCAGCCAGGGCTACACAGTGAAACCCTGAATTTACCACCCCCTCAAAAAAGTGAAACTTAGAGAAAATTAGTTGACTGGGATTACCTAATAACCAGCAGCAGGAAGTGGGCTAACTGGCTATTCAACTGGAATTCCTGACCAGCATTTACTAGGTAATGAGAAACACTTAGGATAGTCTAAGGCTGCCCCTTTTATCCATTTTATTCTGTAATGAGAGGCCCTCAGGGGCTCCTATCCCCAAATAGTTCTTCAACCACTGGATATGCAAACCCAGAAATTGTGAGCTTTAATAGGCCTGTATCCTACAAGAGACAGAGCCTGTGGACCACACACCAGATGGGAGACAGGGAGGCTAAAACATAAAGAGACCTCTGCTCAAGACAGGGGTCATTCCCTTGGGCAGG